GTTTCCGAAAGTCTTATTCGTCCCTTGACGTTTGACTTCCAAACTCTTTAAAACTGACTAAAAAGGCTATTCTTCATTATTTTAACAAGTTTTTAATGCATAGGAACCATGTGAGGCTCTACTTTATTCTACTTCATTTTGAGGGTTGTTGCAATATCCCCCACTTGGGAACATTCTTCCTCGAATGACACTTTAAAACATTAAGGGTAATGACTCAAGACGACCAACCCACAACAATCATACAATATCAATATGAAAGCACTCATCAAGGAGGAAACATCAACTCCACATAACAAGCCATTACAACACAACTTCATTCAAATTTATGGAAGTAGGAATCACACCTACAACTCAACATGCCTCAAAACCCTTTTTTTTTTCATTTCTCATTTATTTGGAGGGACTTCCTCCTCCATAGCACCTCATGGTCATAACAATATCAAAGAACTGAATATGCAATTATATTATTAAAACACAATCATGCTACATCAAGAATACACTTAAGCATGCTCAACTAATCAACTCTAACAACTTTTAGCAACTCCCCAATTTATGCATATAAGGAGAACAACGATCATGAAACTTATTTTCTCATTTAAATCAAGAACTAAATTTAAAGCATGCATCATTAGAAGGAGAAATATTTTTTACCAACTCCCCAATTTATGCATATAAGGAGAACAACAATCATGAAACTCATTTTCTCATTTAAATCAAGAACTCAATTTAAAGAATGCATCATTATAAGGAGAAATATAGAAACTCATTTTTTCACACAAGACTCCAAAAACAATGCATCATGCTTCTACAATTCTATGACTCAAACTCGATTAGGAATAGAAGAAGGAGACAAGAATATCCAAATTCACCTCAACTCATCATTCAACATACCATCCCCCACTTAGGAGAAACCCATCTAAACCAACATAAAAGGATTCCAACACAAAACTAGAAATTATGACTTACCGGCACCTTCATCCGGATTTGCTTCCTTGTTAGCTTGGAGAGCATAGAAACGATTCCTTGCTTGACCATCAACACTAGGAACACTATAAGGAGCTTGCCTAGCATTCATTAATTTAGCCACAACATTAGGACAATCTCTCACCTTGTGATCATTTTTCCCACAACCTAACCACTAGTGCCGGATAGACACTTACCAAAATGATTCTTTCGACAAGTGGAACAAGTAAGCTTAGCAATTTGAGAACCACCACCTCCTTCATGGTTAACCTTAGGAGTACTTGATAAATCTTGATTTGGAGCCCTTTTGTTAAACCTAGGTTGTCCTTGATCCTCATACCTACCCCTTTTTTAAATCTTTCCTAACCCTAGTCATCTTGGACTCCTTAATAGATTGCGCATACACAACAATCCTTGAGATGTTCATGTCACCATGGAGAATTGCCGTGCGGCACTCTTCTTTCACCAAGTCGGATACACCGGTAACAAACCTACTCATCTCCTCTCTAGAGTTAGGCACCAAAGATGGAGCATACCAAGACAACATAGAGAACTTCAAAGCACACTCCTCCACACTCATATTACCTTGCCTAAGATTAATGAACTCCTCAATTTTGAACTCCCTCTTCTCTAGTGGAAAGTACCTACCCAAGAATGCTTCCTTAAACTCCTCCCATTCTATAGTTACCGCTTCCTCCGGCCTATTTGCCTTACATTGAGTGTACCAACTTTGGGCCACCTCCTTCAATTGGTACAAGTCTAGCATATGAGCTACAACATCATCTTATGGAGACTCATCTTAGTCCATCATCGGCACTTATCACAATTTCAAGAGAAACATGCTTTCACATTAGCATAATACCACTTTATACAATATCACATTAATACCATTAGAACATCTTCACATTATAGCTTCACACAAACTTTACATATATCTTCATATATGACTTGACATATAGCCTCATGTGTATAATAATACAACAATGTAATAGCACTCATATAATGCCTTTCTTGGCCTCAATTCACAACAATGCAATATTCCCACATTATACAACAACTTCACCAATGCCTTCATGGCTACAATTCACAATAATACCACACAAGAATAAAAATAACACTTCTGGATCCAACCTACCAACAACAATCAATTCAATAAAGAGAGTTCAAGCCTTCTTACCATAATCCAAAGCCATAGCAAAATTCACAAATACTTCACCCATAAGGCTTAGCACCCTTAATTCATCCATTATCAGCAATTAATCATAAATAAAAGTTAAAAAACACAAGAGATATTAATACCATTCACTTTACACATAATTCCATCAACTTTGAATTTATAGAAATAGACCCACTTCATAGCAAATTTTAGGGTTTGTAGAAGACAAGGGTTCATGGAGTATTTCATTCAAAAATGACAAACACATCAATTAATCCATACCCAAACCTTTCAAATCAATTTCATGCAAGAACCCTTGATTGAATTCAGCTTTTAGTCACTTTTTGAAAACATTGGAAAATCCTTTGAAATTGACTCTAGGATTAAGATGAGTCCTAGATGAAGAGTCATCATACCTCAATTGATGAAATCTCAACGAAATTTGGTGGAAGGGAACCCTCAATTGAAACCCTAGCTCTCCACCTTCTTCTTCCTTGAACTCAAGAGAACTTTAGAGAGAGAAAGAACAAAGGGTTTTGATTTTGGAAGAATGAATTCAAAAACACCTCTTAAATGCTTTAATACCTT